CAATAAATATTCAAGAGAAAAATACAAAACAACAATAATAAAAAAAAAAAAAAAAACAAAAAAAAAAAAAAAAAAAAAAAAAAAAAAAAAAAAAAAAAAAAAAAAATTTTTTATATTATACTATCTCTTTTGTAAACATAATACTTTTAGTTTTTTTACAAGTTCTTTTTCACTTTTAGCTATTAATAATATATTTGTTAAATCTTCACTTGAAATTTCTGCAAACCAGATTGAAAATATATATTTAGTACTATCTACTTTAAATATATCTTTTGCTGTTTGTATTTATTTTTGCTACACTTTTTAATGGTCTTTATTATCTGGAAATAGAACTAGCCAAGTTACTCTTTTATCTAGATCCTTTGGATCTTCATCTATTAAATCAAACTATTCTGTATCTGTTTTTGGATCCTTTTTATTATTAATACTTAGATTATTTTTTATTTTAAAATTTGCTAGCCAGTTAGTTAAATCTTCTATAGATAGAAGGCTAGATACTGGTAATTAGAATCTGGATATATTAAGGCTAGATAGCTGAACCGGGTTAGGTATTTGGGTTTATTTATACTTAAACTTTCTATTAAGATAATTTGTTAAATCACGAATCTTTTTAAAATCCTTTTTTCTACATTGGGGCATTGAAGTACTATTTTTGATAATAAATAAAGCAATTCAGTTGTTTGTATTAATAGTACAAAATCTTTTGTTCAAATAAAAATAATTAATTATCTTAGCCTGCTTTTTGTAATTCTTGCTCAAAGTCAGAAAATAAAGTTATTATTTTTTTTAGAGTGCAGTAAAAAAACTTGATTACTATAGTAATAAAAGGAAGACTTATGCAAATAATAATATATTGTTTTTTAATCTTGCGAAAAAAACTACTGCAAGATTTGCAATAAGCCAACTAGTGCTGAACTTAGTCTTTGTAGAGATCATGCTAGTGGATACTATATAGCCTAATATATTAATAGGCTTCTGAATAGAGCAACTGCCTTTTTGCAATGATCTGCCAAGATGCTCCAATAGTGACCCCCAATGGTTCACCAAAGATATTCTAGTAGTAACCACCAATGGCTCACCAAAGATGTTCTGATAGTAATCTTCAATGGTTTGCTAAAGGTGCTTTAATAGTAATCCCAATGGCCTGCCAAGATATTCTGTAGATATAATTTTTTTATATATCTAGTCTGCTCGCTTTCTTTGCTGACTTTTTTTTATCTGTCTCTTGCTAACAAAATAGCATTTTTAAAATTAACAATGCTTTGAATATATAAGAAGATAAATTTACATTTTTAAGATTAATAAAACTTTAAATAGGTAAAAAAATATATTACTTTCCTTAAGGTTAAGAAAACTTCAGATAGATAAGGATTCAAATTAGCGATCTTAATAAGTAAAAGAGGTGTTAGAAAACATTTTAAACATAATAAAAATACACCACAATATAAGCCTTCTAACCCAATTTTAAAGCTGAGTAGAGTATTGAACAAACCTATATTCTTAAACTTAACAAGGCTTTAAATAGACAAGAAAGAAAATTACTTTTCTTGGAAGTAACAAGGCTTCAGATAGACAAAAAACAAATTAATAAACTTAATAAGTAGAAAGGGTTAGAGAATGTTCTTGATATATAAAAATTTACATTATAATATAAAAGATCTAACCTGATTCTAAAGCCAAATAGAATAGTAAAAAATATAGCATTTTTTATATATGATACTGAGCTCCAATAGGCATTAAAATACAGGATGATAGTGAAAAAAAAATCTGTCTACCTTCTCTGCTGCTTAATAAGTATGAATTAGAATATAATTGCCAAATCCAAGTTGTATATAATATAGACATAGAATACTCTAATAGGTTTAGATCACAGATAGTTCAAAGTCTGTTTGAGTTATTTATATACTTGCTAAAATAAATATATATATATTGTTATATTAGCAATATATTAGTAAGTTTTAAATTTTTATTAAGTAACTCTGTGTAACTTCTAATTGTAGTACAAATCTGATTCCACCAATAGAATTCTTGATATCAATTT